TGGTGTGGCCGCCATTTGTGATGTAGGAGTTTCGGTGAGTACATTTTGCAATTTTAGTTAGGTTTATGTTTTACATTTGGATATGTGCTTTGCTTGTCTGATTTTATGCATTTTGCTTACAACATTTGTTTTCTATCATTTCAGTGAGGATTTTCTGCTGTGTGTATATTTCAGTTAATTTTAGTTTGATTTTCTGCAGTTATCTGCCTTCATCCGTTAATCTTTCACAAATACGCCTGAAACGGCAAAATTCCTGAATATTGACTTTTCCTTAAATGTAAATGTAAAAATTGATCACCATTTTATTCAATCAAATCTAATCAAAACCTTCAGTCGCGTTTCAAGATTCTGTTTAAATGCAAACTTGCCTACTTTCGGACGTGTAAGGGATACCGTCAACAATTGTCCAAAATTGAACATGAACTCTATAAGCTTCATCTGGACTCGCTAAAAACATATCCAAAATTCACTGCCCTTGAACAAAGCTGGTCTAGAACGGAGATGCAGTTAACCGTCAAAAAACACCCTTGCAGTTTAAATTCGAAAAACTTCTTTTACAGTTTTCCAAGTGTTCAAAAAATCTTCCCATTGTAAACATCAAGCCAAAGTTATATTTCTAAGGTGGTCTTTCAGAAGAACAAGAGAGAATTCTAAAATATAATTTTAACTTCTCACAAACCTGTAAACCTCGATTCAAAGATTTTGGCTCTATCGAAAAACTTTCAAGTTCAGTAAAGTTTCAGATTCACAGAAAGAAATGATTAGGCATCTTATCGTCATAATGTGAAATTCAAAATAAACCTTTGAAACCAAATCTAACGGAGAGAGAAAGAGCTACAATGCGCGAGTCATTTAACCCGATATTTCATTTCAAAGGCGACAAAGGGGCCGATAGCGTATGGATAAGACACTTACATCGATGGGTCACTAAACTCTTAACGAAGGCCGATAATTATCCGATCCCTAAAGATCCTTCACCTTCGGACTTATCCAAAATAAAAACTGCGATCAATCTTCGCAAATCATTTCAAGCAACTTAAAACATTCGCTTATCCCATCTGTTGCGATGTGCCAGAGATATGCTCTTCCCAAAAATTCATAAAAGTGGTATTCTTTCGCCCTATGGTATCAAATTAGGTACTGCCTCGTATCCATTAGCTAAATATTTAGTTTCTAGATTTTCACTCTATTAGACAATACATTACACCATAAAAATTCAATAGAGTTTTTAAAAAGGTTAAAAACATTTCTCCTCGTAATTTACTCTGGTTTCTTTGATGTAAAATCATTATTCACCAATGCCCAGTGGAAGGGTGCTTAAGGTCTAGAACCAGACTTCGCGAATTTCATTTTCTCTTGCATCGAAATTGATGAGCTAATTTCTCTCACTCAACTCTGTTTGAACAAACACATTTGTTTTCCAATAAAATATTACAGCAAACTGAGGGATTAGCCATGGGAAGCCCCCTCAGTCCCATCCTGGCTGATATCTACATGCATTATTATGAATCAAAATTATTTGAAACTTTAAACTTCCCGGCATGGTTCCGCTACGTAGACGATACTTTTACCCTGTTTGAAGGTAATAAAGATGATTTAAATAAAGGTCTTTCAACAAGAATTCATTGATCTGCTATTCATTCACTTTTGAATGAGACTTGCATTCTCTTCGTTTCTCGAACATCTGGTCACACAACACATCAACTTCAGTACTACAGTTTACCGTAAAACTTCATCGGTTGCCTTCCACCACACTTTAAATCATGTCATCCGACTAAACAAAAGTAGCTCATTTTATTCCTATGTTTTCCGTGCTCTTCAAGTTTGCTCCTCCAAACTAGCCTTGATGAAAGAACTAAATTATTAAAGCAATAGCTATTGACAGGGGCTTTCACCAACATTATTAATCAAGCAGTTAAAAATTCTCATCTCACACACTAAAGCCACACTCTATTTTAGGAGATTATAAAATTCTGTTGTCATTCCTTTTTCCATCAATTAGCTATAAAGTTGCACAGATTTTTTGCAGAAATTTAACTTTCGGGTTGTTTACTCTCCCATCAATAAATTCCAACTTCATACTCAAGGACCCATTCCGGATATGAATTCCTGGGGTATTTAGGATTCCTTGCCAGTGTGGTAATTTACATTGGCAAACTAAGAGAGCTTAAAATTTCGCGTCAAAGAACATGAGGCATATGTTAGAAAAAAGGAAACACGAAGCTTCTGTGCTCAACATTGTGGTCCGAAAACATTTCAATTTTTCTGCTGCCAAAATTATTCAAAAAATCTTCCATTGAGAAGGATTTTATAGAGCATTTCATTCAAAAAATCTTTTGTTCTAGTTACGATCTAATTCCATCCAAATTGCCTTCGGCTGTTAGAAATTATGTTTTAGTTCTGGTTTCGCCAACAGGGCGCCACTTGCTTATCTTGTCCAGCGTCTTATTTATCTAAACTTTTCCTATTTGTTCATTTGCGGTTTGCAGCTGAAGATGGGTTCGGTAAAACCATCGAAATAGTCCTGTGAAAATTTTGAAATAACGCTGATTTTTGTTGTTTGACTTCGGAATTAGTATTTATTCGGCGTGTTATTGTGTCTTAATTAAAAGAATATATAGTTAACATCTGAAATATACAAATTTAAATAGCTTATATGCAAATTCTTGTGAATAAATGCATAGGTAAACTTTTTGAAGATTTATAGAATCTGGGGAAAAGCAGGCAAACATAGGGGGAAAAAAAAAAAAAATGAGAAATTTTCTTATGAGTTAGTTATACAGTTATGATAGTATAATTTCTCAATCAATCAAAATACAGGTAAATGTTAGTTCCCCCCTCCCATTTTTTCACTTTTCATTCAAGTCTGTAGCATTTGGCAAAATGTAAAATATTTATCTTTCAGATTTAATATGTGTGTAATTGGTTAACAAACTAAGTTATTTAAAAGCAGTCTATGTAGTTCTTAAGAATATTAATTTTTTACTTTTTAATCTGATTGATGTAAATAGAAATACATCTAATTAAAAACATTAAATATTTTTGTAGAATTACATTATATATTTTTTCACTTCAAATATACAGAAGATATAGAACATTCCCATGTTAGTGTAAATCTATATTCATCTAATATCCTATAAAATGTTTTGCTATTACACCTAGGCCATCTTTTGTTGATGGTCTCTACTGATAAGCCATATTAAAATTTAAAACATTTCTTTGAGAGGGGGCCGTTAAAATCTGAAAGGATTCAGATTTACGATTTTATGCTTCTGTAAAATAAACACAGATATATTATGAAAATTTAAATTTGGCAAGTACACAAATAAGTTAGATTTCAGTAACTTATTTTTGTGGTAGATTCAGTAACCTATCAGACTGTATTGTGAGGAAGAGAACACCTATTTGATTAGCAGAATGCCTTAAAAACATCATCACAAATAGAGGATATGTAAGATATTCAAGTAAGTGTTCCTTCAAATGAATTTTTGTTACAAATATCATTATATTCTTACACTTAAACTGTAAGCTAGTGTCTGGGTTATCAATTGTAATAAACCAAAATGCAATACTCTGCAGCTTGTCACAAGCACTGGTTTGCAATTATTAGGAGAAATAACTCTTCATCTTTTTTTTTTTTTTTTTTTTTTTTTTCTCTTTAGAGGAGATGTGTGTTATAGAAAGTGGCTCATATTGACATTAAATCCAGCCCCCTCACCCCAAAACCCCAGTTTGCTGCTGAAGATCAAAATCAAGTGTGTGTTTAATGGACTTTTCTAACTGGCCCTAAAATTACAAAAGCAGATCAGCTTTTAAATGGTAGCTGTACAATATGTAACCCATTTGTGATATATTCATCATTCCAAGTAAGAGAAAAAATAATATTTTAGGTAAATGTTTTCAAAATTTTGATTCACTTTTAAAATTATTGTTAAGCTTTAATTTATTAGGTAATTAAATTTATTAGGTATCATTTCGCTTATACGTTTGTCATCACATGTATAATAAGCTAATATTTCAGTATCATTGTTGTATTACAAATTTAGTAACACTTATGGAGGAAAAAATGACTGTGTTTGTGATGTAGTGGCTATTCATACATTACATGGGCTCCACATCCAATACCTATTAATTTTTTTTCAGAGATGATTGTAATTTCGTTAATATATTGTTAGTTCCTCACCTAACTGCACCTCCAAAATTGACGTTGGCAATGTCTACACAAAATGCTACGACTTTTGCTGTCAAATTATTATCTTTCAACACTTGGTTTAAATAATTGACAGTGATGTCAGAAGTTTTACCAGGTTGGTCTTCGAAATCTAAAATTTTTACTTGCACACCTATGTAAGGTTGAAAAAAGCGCACTACAATGGAGTATATTTTCTTGTTACTGTGGTTTGACACGTCGTTTAGTATTGTAATAAAATTGCACGTATCAAGGTCATCTTTTAATTCTTTCATTGCTGTAGGTGTCAAAACATTTACTACAATAGCTTCTGATTTTGTATGTGCATATGTAAATTTGGGATCAAAACATGATTGAAACAATTTTGATGCACAATCATTAGAACGAAAACTGTGGTTTTCTTGTATCGTGTGATAAGCTCAGACGCCTTCTGCCGCGGCGATATCCAAGTCCTTCAAAGTTGGCGCGTCCGATTTCTTGAAAAAGTTTAACAATGAAGAACTCGAAGCGGCGGTCGATCGGATTTTAAGTTTGTCAACTTTAAAGCTGTTCAATATACCGCCACCACTGGGGAAACACGAAATTCTATACGACACTTTTCACATTGACATCTGATGGAGTATTTATTGCTGATAACGGATATTTCTTGTAAGCTAACATTGAATGAACACTTGCGTTTTGACATTTTAACTTGTGATTCCAAAGCAAAAGAAATTAAAATTATTTACTACATGAGCATCAAACAAAAACAAAACAAATAGCGAGAAGTGGGCAAATGAAAAGTTTGTCAAACAATAGTCAATAAGTCAACAAAACATGAGCGATGTGACGTCTAGGCCACTCTCGGCTATCGGTCTCACTCTCGCGTCCAGTTGGTGCGGGCGTCACATCACGGCGGCGTGCAGGGCGGTGGCCGGCCGTCTGCTACTCAAATTTTCGCGTAGTTTCTGAAAACGGGATAATTTTTGCATCCCACAGTCCATTTTGGGGACACCGGGACTCATTAACTGAAATTGGGGACTAATTGTAAAAAGGCACAGCCCCGTTCAAAACGGGACGTCTGGTCACATTAATCATAAGCTTTTATGTGTGGAAAGAATTATACATTTTTTAATTCTAACATTATTTTAGAGTTCATTTTTCATATCATTACATGTTTATTTCCTGTTGCTGTGTTATACCAGTCAGATGACTTACAAAAAATAATATTGTTTAAAAATTATTAAATTATTAAAGGGAATAAAGTAGTATCATTTAACTTCTGAATTTAATTACTATCAATTTCATTTATATCTGTTTTACTTTTTTTAGGCAGTTACTTCTAGATTAATTTTTTTACAACTAATTTTCTTGTCAACAAAATTTTATTTTTAAACCAATTTAATATTTAAATTATATTTCATTTGAATCATATAGATCTCATAACTTGTGCATAATATGAGCATATGGAGCACATTTTTTCTTTTTATTTGCTTCATACATAACCTCCAAAAATACAACAAAAATGTTTTACAACTTTCATTCCAGAACTCAAATCATAGACTTCCAAGCATATTTGAAACAGGGCTAGTTTGTTTTCCATTGTTTACTATTATTCCTGCTCACTTTGAAATAATTATGTGAATAAAAGTTACCCTTCAGTATTAAATATTTATCAATGAGATTTACATAAGTCAGTATTTTGGAATTTAACATCCCAAAGAAACTCGTGAACCTTACAAGGATCACAATTAAGAGTTTGAAGTGCAGAATTAAAATTTTGTCTTTTTTCTCAGAGCCTTTCTATTCTGAGATAGGTCTGTGTGTACTTTCTTGTCTGCTTAACTTGGCACTGAAAAAGGCTGTAAGAAATTCTTAACTAAACAGAATGGAACTATTCTACAAAGAACAATTAAACTGCTATTTTGATGAATGACATTGATATCATTGGACGATCTAAACGAGCTATTGTCATGTTTGAATATGCAGCAGGGAAGGTGGGTCTAACCATCAATAAGACAAAATTTATGATGGTAACAAATAAAATCATTGACCTTTTCCTTTAAAGATCAACAATTATACTTTTGAGACTGACAGGATATCTATGGCCAATGAATGTTTTTGTGACTTAGAACCAGCCAGTATAGTGGTTAGTGACCAGGCCAGGCTTCTGACCTAAGCAAAAATACAAACAGAATAATGCCTGTTTGGGGAAAGTGATCCACCCCTATCCAGCAGCCACCACATCAAAGTAGCAGCTGGCGGCATTTATTGATAAATTCCAATGAGTTTGCATAGTCACTAGTAGTCTTGTTACATCTTTGAACTTAGAGTGCTACATAATTCTTATTTTAAATTTTTACATATTAATGAAGTCTTGCATATCAATATTAAATGTTCTTTGTTTTATAAGTATTGCACTTGTAATTTTGTCCTTTGAATATAGTGTCCATTAGCCGTGGTTAATTTTCAATGTCCAATTGTTAAGTTTTTGTGCAAAACTATTAAATCTTATTCTCTAATATATATCCATTGTCCATTTTTATCAGTTGTACTTGCCTTGTGCAGTTAATATCCATGCATATGAGCAGTCTATAGTACAGTCAAAAGTGGCTAATTCGGACACCCATAATCTGGAATGATCTATAATCCGGACCTCAAAACTACAAACTTTCTGAACATGCGCGCGTTAATGCATGCGCATAGGTGTTTACAAATGCGTGTAAGAACTTTATGGGTGCACATATGCGTGTGTGCATTCGTGTAATACGTTTATGCATGCGCGTTTAATGTATAACGGATGGTTATAGCTAAATTATTAATTATCTATTCAGTTAATGTTGCAGATTGCATTGTCCTTAATCTTCGAAATTAGATCCGGTTATTTTTGTGCAGAGTTAGAGCAATTTTATAAAAGTAAGCTTAACTTTTGATTATGAAATAGAATTCAAATCCGATGCTGAGCTCCAAAGGATCTACAAAGCGAATATGTTTCGATGTCCATCAAACAAAAAGTGGGAATGCCTGCAAAATGGATAAAGCTATCCTTGGTTCTCTATCCATTTGAAATATGTTTATCAATTTCCCGCTGCTCTGCGGCAGGGGGGGGGACGTCGCGGGTGCAATGAACTGGAAGTTCATGGTCAGCACTATCCTATCTTCAGGTTAGATTGTTTTTATTTTTCAGCTATAACCTTATAAAGGTGTATTTCATCTTGATGTTACTCCATCTTGCTATGTTTAAATCAAATTCCTCGTCATTATAATGCTTCAGATAGTGAAGAAGTGACATAGAGGTTATTGAAAACGAAAAAATTTCGATTGACAGATTAGTCGGTATTCTCGACACAGCAATTATAGGATTGAACAGTGGAACTTTGTAACTGAACAAGAAATATGTCTGTTATAGAATTAAAGAGAAAGTTTAGACATAAAACGAAGCAACTTAAACAACTTACATTGAAAGAAATGTTTAATAAAATAAACAAATAAATATTAAGCTTTTTTTTTTTTTTTTTTTTTTTTTTTGTAAATTTTGATACCCTTTAGATGATAATTGTACTTTATTTCATAAATTATGGTTTCATACTTTTTATTTTAGAATTTCTGCATGCCATCTTACGAGATTTAAACTGATGATCTATAATCCGGAAAAATCGATAATCCCGAAGTCCCGACGAGTCCAGATTATCGACTTTTGACTGTAATTACATTTATTCCTTAATAGTCCATGATAGTACATAATAAACCCTAATAGTCTATAATAGTCCATAATAATATAAATAGTCCACATCATGTGTTAACATTGTGACATGTATACATAATTAAAAGGTGTGGCCAAAAAAAAAATCGAGACTGGTCCAATAAATAATTGTACTTACAGAATCTGTTCTCCATGACATTATCATCTTCAAAATAGTCCCCTTCAGCATTCACACACTTCTACGTTCGGTGCTGCCATTGCTGGTAACAGCTCTCAAGTGAGGTTTTTGGAAGGCCCTTCAGGATATTCGCTGTTTTTGCCTGAACCTCTTCAGCTGAGGTAAAATGGCTTCTCATTAAAGAATATTTAACTTTATGAAATAAAAAAAAGTGCCATGGAGCCAAATCAGGTGAATAAGGAGAATGCTATATCACAGTAATGTTTTTCTGGTCAGAAACTGCTTGACAGATAGGGCCGTGTGAGTGGGTGCATTGTCCTTGTGCAACAGCCATGCATCACTCCACAACTTTTGCCTGTTTTCCTTAATTTTTTTACAAAGTCTTTTTAGTACTTCAGTGTTGATTAACAGTCTGACCACTGGGAACCCACTCAATCATTACAATTCCATTAATGTTGAAGAAGACAATTAACATTGTCTAGATTTTGATGTGCATGCTTTGTTCCTTCCCCCTGAAAATTGCTTATGCCATTCAAACACATATGCACGAGACAAAGTTTCATCTCCATAAGCCTCAGTTAACATTTGAAATGTTTCACGTGGCTGATTTCTTAAATTTCACAAGGAACTTGATGTTGATTCGCTGTTCGATTTTTACATTAGATATTTTTTCTGGCAGAATGCAATTGCACATGTTCACTCAGTGGCACAGTACTCCCAGCTGGTGTGATTGGATAAGTCCAAACTGGCCACATGGATAGAGGGAGTGTGTGGGACGACGTCACCAAAACAGTTGTTGCAAACCCCACTCTTTTTT